CACATATCAATATTTAATTTATGAGCATACACTGAGTGAAGGAGAGCTTCTAGCAAATGATGCTGGGAAAATTAGATTTGTAAAATAAAATGTGATCTAATTCCATGCACAAAAATAAATTCCAAATGAATTAAAAATATAGACACCCAATTAATAAATGGACAGCAGATTTGAACAGACAATTCACCTGAGAGGATATCCAGAAAGCCAACAGATACATGAAAAATATTCATAATCAATTTTAATAGGAATTTGCAGTCAAAACTACAATGAGATATCATCTCACACCCATGAGACTGGCAAACATTTAAAAAAATCAGCATGTGCTGGAGCAGATGTGGAGAAAGAGGAACACTATTACACAGTTGGTGAGAATGTAAAATGGTGCAACCATTTTGGAAAGCAAACTGGAATTACCTGTAAAAACTCAAAGTGAAAATAATCATATGACCCAACAATTCCATCCCTGGGCACCTATCCAAAATGTGAAGCCATCAACTCAAAAAAAATTATGTGCTCTACAATGTTCATTGCAGCAGTGTTTACAATACCTAGACTATGGGAGTAACTAAATGTCCATCAATAGATTTATCAAAAAGATATCATCTATCTGCACTATGGAGCGCTATCCAGCCACAAGGAAAGACAAAATGATGCCATTTATAGCAAAATAGGAGTTTGGGGGAATTATATGTAATCAAGCTAGAGAGAACAACAAAGACAAATATTTTTGTGGTGTGTCCTTCCCTGCGGGCTTGCTTGGTTACTTATATTTTTCCTTCTCGTTGTTTGTTTTCTAATTGGTTCTATGTGTTGAGATGTTGTGCCACTGGCATTGGTGGGCATCTCTTTGGATTGCTCCTTCAGGGGTGTCGGAAACTGTTTACCAGACCCAGTCCTGCACTGTTATGCCAAAACTCCACCAGGGTGTTGATGTTATGGCTGTGTTGCTTAGCACTGTCCCTTACAGTTCCCTCCCTCTGTATTTACTCAGTTCCAGCAGGGAATCAGCTAGTGGGTGATTTTGCTCTTGTCACTAGGTGGCGCCAGAGACTTGTACTTGTGTACCTATGCCTTTCCCCTGCAGTTCTCTAAGAAACAGAGCGAGGGAGGGGAGCACCTCCACACTGGGGCTATTGCTCACGCTGGGTGCTGTGCCCACAGCTGTGTGAATCCCACGGCCTGATTTCTGCGCTCTAGTTCTCAGTCCCAGGGCACTGAGATCCAAAACGCTGGCTGTCACCCTGTGCAGTGCCCACTGTTATGGCACATCCCATCCCCGGATCCTGTGCCTGACTCTCAGGTCCAGAATGGGGTCATGCTCCATGCCTTGTTTCCCTTCTTATCTCAGTTTGCATGGACCACCCCCTCTCAGAGCCTGAGGGTGATTTTGGAAAGCCTGGCTTCCAACTATCAGGAAGTTGATTGTTTTGTTCTGATCACTAGGTGGCACCAGAGATCTTTCCTAGTATTCCTCCAGAGCTGTGTTTTTTTCCCGTGGGTCTCTGGGGAACTGAGTGGGGGCAGCGTGGAATGGCTCAACGGCATAGGGGTGCTGTGTCTGCCCTGTGCTGTGCTTCGTGGGGATCCCACGCCCCGAATTTCGTGTCCCAGTTCTTAGCTCCAAAACCCTCAGATCCAGGACGCGTGCAGTAGCCCAATTTAGAAATGGAGCCCTTTACACCCCACTCCCGTGCCCTGGCACCTGATTCTTGATTAGCCACTGAGGGTCATTCTCCTCAGTGACGGTTCCCATGTATCTCCCCACGGACCTAGGTCGCAGGTGTGGGGACCTGGGCAGCCTTGATCCGTGTATGCTTTTCAAGCATGCGCACTTTTCCTCACAAGCTTACTGGCTGGCCTTGGGCTATTTGCAATCTCTCCCTGGAGTCCTTATCTTCCTCTAATGGCACCCCCCGGAGCCATTTGCTCACCTCTGTGGCAATTCCTGCATGGTACTCCACAATTCCCGCTCCTGGGGTGTGGTGCCTGCAATAGTTCCTTTCCACTCACAGTTCTGCTTGATCTCTAGTTTGTTGGGTTTTTTTGTTTGTTTTTTATCCTTTCTGTTGGTCGGAGAGTGCCGGCTTTGTGGGTGGGGGAGGGTAGCAGGATTCTGAGCTTTCCTCTCTTCTTGTGCTTTTATTGCAACTTTCCTCTTTGGGCAGTTTGCCAGAGTCTCCCGTTTATCTTCCGTGTTCCAGTTCTCTCAGGGACCTGCTGCTTTTCCTCCCTATTAATTGTTTTTATGGGAGAACTTATTTCTAGTGTTTCTCTGACGCCATGTTATCCGCCCCTTTATCTGGGCTGCAACTGTTAATACTTATAATCCTAGGATTCAATACCTGGTTATCTAGTCATCCTAGCCTGATTCAATAAATGTTTTTAATCACTGTCCTCCACTCACATAATGATCATCTAACACCTAGCCCATTAGGAGGGCAGCAGGCCAAACAGCTCATGGTCAATTTTTTTTTTTTAACTGAATAAACAAATGAAAGAAGATTATGTATGAATAAGCAACAATGTTAATTTTAAAGGCAAATTTGGGCAGGGTTGGGTTCAATGAACACTGGCAGTTCTGGGCTTTGGAATAAGAGAAGATAAAGTTTAAATCCGCAGGGGTTAAGTCTCAGTGCTATCAAGCTATTGCCAGTCACTGCAGCACAAGTTCAATTCCCTGCCATTATGTGGATAAAAACAACAAAAGAATACAAGTAAAATAACCTGTCATTGGTTTTTGGGATGTAATAAGTGCTTAATAAATATTAGTTTTTCCATCCAGACAAAGTCCATTTCCAAAGTCACTTGATACTAGGGTAAAGCTCCTTGTCTGATGATTTCTGCTGAGGCAAAATTGACCACAATATGTTCTGCACATGTTGCTTAAGCTCCCTAAATATATTATGTATTTTTTCTTTTTTTTTTTTTAAGATTTATTTATGCATACAAGAACTGGAGCACAGACAGAGGTGTGGGGGATGAGAGGATTCACCAGAGACAGAGTAGGGAACAGAACAGACAGATTGACTGAAATACTCTGCTAAGGGGAGCAGCAGAAAAGGCAGGAGAGGTCTGCTATGCCATGTGGGTCTGCTCCCTGGGGATCAAACTCATGCAGCAGTGATTGCCGATAGCTTTATAGTGCTCCGACTTAAACCCTTGTGCCACCAGGGAGACCCCCTAAATGTATTTTTTCATTTGTAAAATCAGAGCTCTGTGCTACTGCAAGGGAATGTCTGAAGATGAGATGTTCTATTTCTACATGTAATCAGTAATATCATTATTACTAAGCTCTTTTGATGAAATGGCAGGGAATCCTTAAAACTCTAAGATGAGAAAAAGCCTTATAGAACTTGTAAATTCTCTTCTAGAATTTGCCAGAGTGGAAAGAATTGGAGTGACCTGTTCAAGATCACTCAGTTTGTTCACAGCAGAGCTAAAGTTAGAACTCAGCCTCCCGAATCTCAGAGCAGTGCAGGCTGCATTAGACCTCAGCCAGGACAGGAGGCAACTCCCGTTAAGCCCTCCTGAGTTCCATCTAGGTCTCTATTTCTAGATAGCCCAGCCTATGACATGGCCACACTGGGTAACTCAGAAAGTTAAAAAAAAAAGTAATCTTTGCACCATTACTAATATATAAGAGAAAATTTAAAAATACTTATTGTATGAATAGATGAATGAATGAATGAATGAATGAATGAATGAATGACAGGAATCCTGAGGGAAAGGACAAAGAACCCAATTAAATGTATTGGTCATGTGTATGTTGGGTTATATGGTGTATATGTGTCTGTGTGTGGATGTGTAACACATAAAACACTTTAGTTACCAATCATTAGAAATAAATACAAATAAACTTCATGATACTCATTCCAATTTTACTAGAAGAGAGACAAAATGATAATTTCAAAGTGACTATCATATTTTAACAAAGAGGAAGAATGTTTGTGCCTTATTTTCTATGAGAATTGCTAATATATCCAAAGACTACTTGAGAAAATTTTGGAGATTTTTGCTCACCTGCTTGTCTTTGCCAAAGCAGAGAGTGCTTAGGAAAAATGTTGGCTCTTTTCTGAGAATCTTAACTCCCTGAGACAGAAGAGAGATGAGATAGATTGTACTCTTCAACACATTTGACATGCCAAGGAATTTCCCTATGATCCATAAAGTTTATTTCCAAAGAAATTAAACAGCTTCTGGGCCTCCCTTGTGGCACAAAGGGTTAAGATGCAACCTATGAAGCTATCTGCAACCTCTGCAGCATGAGTTTGATCCCCAGCCAGCCAGGGAGCAACACACATGGCGCAGCAGACCTCTCCTGACTCACTTGCTGCTCCCCTCAGCAGTGTATTTCAGTCAATCTGGCTGTTCAGTTCCACACGCTGTCTCTGGTAAATCCTCTCACCCCCCCAAGCCCCTCCCACACACACACACCTCTGGCCTGTACCCCAGCTCTTGTATGTATAAATAAATAAATCTTTGGGGGAAAATAGAAATTAAAGAGCTTCTGTACAGCAAAAGAGACATTAACCAAAACAAAGAGGCACCCCATTGATTTCAAGAAAATAATACTGATAAAGGACTGATCACAAAGATCTATAAAGACTGATAAGACTCAACAAAAACAAAGTAAACAATCCAATCAAAAAAACGGGCAAAGTGGGCCTCCCCAGTGGCACAGTGGTTGAGCGCTGGGTTGCGAAGCTGCCCGCAGCCTCTGCAGCTCTGGTTCGATCCCCGGCTGCTCCCTGGCCTCCGGAGGAGGGTCCCACATGGCACGCAGACCTCTCCTGCCGCCCGCTGCTCCCCTCAGCAGTGTACTTCGGTCCTTCTGCCTGCTCTGCTCCCCACTCTGGCTCTGGTGAATTCTCTCACCCTTCTGCACTTCTGACTGTACCCAGTGCTTGTATAAATAAATAAATAAAATAAAATAAAATAAATCTTTAAAAAAAAAGGGCAAAGAGCTAAAAAGACACTTTTCCAAAGAGGAAATGCAAATGGCCAAGTGGCATATGAAAAAATGTTCAACATCACTTTTAATCAGGGAAATGCAAGTCAAAACCACAATGAGATACCATCTTACACTAGTAAGAATGGCACATATTTAAAAAAAAAAAAACTAGCAACAACAAATATTGGTGAGGATGTGGAGAAAAAGGAACTCTACTGCACTGCTGGTAGGAAAGCAAACTGGTCCAACCACTATGGAAAGCTGTCTGGAGGTTCTTCAAACTATTAAAAATGGAGCTTCCATATGATCCAGCAATTCCACTACTAGGTATCTACCCAGAGGACACAAAAACATTAATTCAGAAGGACACTTGCACCCCTATGATTATTGCAACACTTTTTACAATAGGTAAGCTATGGAAACAACCCAAATGCCAAAAAATAAATGACTGGATCAAGAAGATGTGGTACATATACACAATGGAATATTACTTGGCAATCAAAAAAGATAAACTCATGCCATTCACAGCAACATGGATGGAACTGGAAGGGATTATGCTCAGTGAAATAAGCCAGAAAGAAAAAGAAAAATATCAGATGGTTTCACTTAAAGGAAGAATATAGAGGAACCAAATAAGTATCAAGGGGGAAAAAAGTAATTATAATAAATTACAAAATCAAAATCAACATAAATCAGGGACATTCTGCAGGGGAGGGGGAGAGACAGGGATCAAAACAGGTGGGACGAGCACAAGGGACTATGGTGATGGTGCATGGGTGAGTTGATGGTGGGAATTTCACAGGGACTACACACAACTGAGAGGAGAAATCACACATTGTACAAAAATGAAGAATTTTATAAAATATATATAAAATTTTAAAAAAAGAAAAAGTATATAGATATTTCTCGGGGAAACACAGTTGTCAGGCTCAACAGTGAATGCTGACAGATGAAATACACCTGCATGGGGAAGAGAACTGGGAGCAGGGGTCAAAGGAGATTGAGACCATGAGCTAAGGTCACAGGGCTGAGGGGGTGGAAGGAAGCCTAGGAAACTGTTACCCACATCACTCTGTGCAAGGAAAGGAGATGAGTTCGTGCAACACACTTCCCCAGTAGCATTCAACTGTGGTCTTCTGGAGATAATGACTAGTGACATTAGTTAGTAGTGCAAAAAATTATTTAGTGAGAGGGAAAAAAAATATTCAGGAGACAAAAGTGTCTTCTGGTATTTTTCAGAGCAGCCAGATTCTCTTCGTGTCCTCAGGCACACATCTGGCATTCAGACGAACACTGTGTGGAGAAACAAAATGTAATCAGTATTCAATTTGAGAGCATAACCCAGTGACTTTTTAATACAAAAGACCCTTTAGGAAACTTGCAGGAAAAACAGCCTGTGCCTTTAGCACTTCCTCTGAGGAACCACTCTTCCTAGTATCTCAGAGTCTGGAAGCTTAACTTTGAAACCCCAGAGCCAAACTAAACCTTACTGCTTGCATTCTTTTCAATTTGACAGTTTTACTTAATGTCCAGCCCAAGACTCACAAAAAGATGCACTTTTATTTTTCTTCCAAAGGGCAGATATGACATTGCACAAGGAAAAAATAAAAACCAACTATGGCCATTATTCCTCATTAAAACTTTTGAAGTGTCAAGCTCTTTACCCAGAGGAAGATGCTGAGATGCAATTGCTGAGAGACATTTATTGTCAGGAAGTGACAGATGGAAAGGGAAGGTTAATACAATTGTGTTTTCCTCATCTCTATCTTCCCCACCAGGGTCTTGCTATGGGAGCCTGGGCTGCAGCAGGAATTTCCATCACATACCTCAAGTCACATTTGTCATCTGGTCCCAGTTGTTGCCTTGAGAAGCATCTCAGTCTCTTTCATACCAGGAGGGATGAGATGGATTTCCACTTGATGAGCAGAGGCTGCTGCAAACCAACTGGACCTCAAACTCAAGAGCTTCTGCAACATTCCAGGCTCATTATGGCTAATAAACACAAGGATACATTATTGACAGGTTCAGCACTGTAATGAAAAGGAGAGGCAGGCTAAATTTCTCAAAGGGGGGGGATTTATTGCACCCCCAGGTGGGATTCACAGACCAAAGGTGGGGGTCGGGTCGGCAAAGTCGAGCACATTGCCAGGGGGAGGCAGGCTTTTATAGGGTGAGGAGAGGTCAGGTGGGAAACTGGGTTTGTACTGCAGGGTGCAGGGGGGTGGGCAGAAAGTTTGTAGGGAGCAAAAGATTTGTAGGGCAGGGAGAGGTTCATTGTCTGATTTTTATAGGTGGGCTTCCGCTTTCCTGCCCCCAGGTGGGCTCCCCCCCGCCATTGACCTTTCAATTATCTCATTTAATCCTCAATACAACCCAGAAGAAAGTTACTATTTTAACCTCCATTTTATATGTGGGGAAATCAAGGTTTGGAGATATTAATTTGAGAGAGTTAAAATAATTGAATGAGGAACCGGGATGCAGTGGCGATGCCTCCTGTCTAAGAAGAGGTGGGTGTGAAATGGCAAAAAATGACCCCTTAAAAATACACACATAGGTCATCTACATTTTCTGCTTGCTTATGGGTAACACAAGGAAGGTAGATGCACTGATGAGAAAGAAGTACAATGGCTCTTACTGAGTACTAGTTGTCACTGTGAATCTTCACAGCTTCCCTGTGAGAAATTGGTAAATACCCCCATTAGATTTCCCCCACCAGAGGCTGGGGCTTGCTCACATGGAGATGGGCTGGAGGCCATCCAGGTGGGAAATGGAGTTGCAGGAAGGGGAGCCCAGTTCCTACCCTGTCTGAAATATCTCACCCATCTGTCTCCCTCCCTCTTCCTGCATCCCCAGGGTTTGTCCAAAACTGTACTGTGTGCTTATAATTTTATTTAATGCACACATCTATCTGCCTTTGTTCTTTAAAAATTACCTAATGGTTGAGCTTTGAGACTTCCAAATGAAATAAACATATCATTGCTTTTCAATCCTATGTTATTGCCATGGGCACTCTGAGAACGGTCAAACAGGGAACACACTGTCCATCTCACAATATTTCAGTTCTAGTTCTGAAAGACTTAAAAAAGAAGGGAAAATGCTATAAAATGGGCAGAAGATTAAAGTTCTGAGCATTTAAAAAAAATCTTATTTCTCACTCGATTCAGTAAGCAATGCCTCTGGTCCCCTTTTGTGTATGTTCTGGTAACCTACAGAGTAATGACTCTGCAGTCTCTTGGGACCTAACAGTGCTCATTGGAAACTGGCTCTGAGGTTATTTGCATTGTTTGCTTTCTTCATCCCACCATGATAGAATTACATATGTATGCATTTAAAATAGACTTTATGACATTATGTTCTCAGAATTAGCCCTGAATCAGGAAAAGACTGCCCAGAAGCTGTTACTGAAATTAGAAAGTAAAAAACACATGTTTCATAATGCATGTCTCAATTGTACTGAATTTAAAAATTTGAGACAGAAACCTTTGAACCAAAGGAAAATGTAAATTTTCTTTGGAGGGTATAGAGTAGATACTCAAAAGAATTTTAAAGTAAGGGTGTGAATTTTGCCTTTGAGCCTTAAATCACATTCTAAACATAATCCAGGGGTGAGGGAGCAGGTTCTGACTAGGGGGGTGTGGAAGATTCCCGACTGACCACCAGGCTCCTGGGTCCTGTGTGGGCAGGGCTGTCACATTAAGCTGCCCATCAGTTTTATGCAATTTTCTGTTTTTATGTGATAGTTAATGATTTTTTAAAGTCTGTCTTAAGTCGGTTATGGGCAAGGTAGGGTGCCAACAGCATGGATTTATCATTCCTTCTCTGTTTTGTTCACAGCTAAAACTTCAGTTTCTAGAAAAGTGCTTACGTGATAAGGGTCTGATAGATATTTGTTCATAAAAATTAAACAGATGAAAAAGTCCCCTTTATTCATTCTCGTCTTGAAATGGGATGCTTGATAAAATACAGATACCAACTAAGGTTTAGTCTCACTCAGTAGGTCTGGGTTGGAGCCAAGGAATCAAATTATCTGTGACTTTTTATTCATACTTTCTAACATATAAAATAATATAATGAGCACCTATATACCTATTACCAAAACAGTTAACATTTTTACCATGCTACTCTCATCAATATTTTTGCTAAAGTTGAAAAATTATGTGAACCACATGAAAATAAAAACATTTTCCTTCTTAAAGTCAAAACCATTAAATGTCTAAGGGGGCAGGGGGAGGGAGTAGGATCAAAACCAGGGGGAGTGGGAATTGTATGGGGACTATAACCAAGATGAAAATCATACATTGTGCAAAAATGAAAAACAATGTAAAAAATATATAAAATTAAAAAATTTAAAAAAAATAACAATCCTGTATTATCACTACCTAGTACTGATCCATACCCAAATTTTTCCAGTTGTTCCCAAAATGTTTGTTACTCCCAGTTTAGTCCTAATCAGGATCCAATCAAAGTCTGCACACCACATTTGGTTGTTTTATCTTGTCACTTGTTACCTAGAATAATAAGAGCTCACCTACCCCTCAGAATGGCCTTCTCTCTGAATTTGTCCACCAGCCGAACTTGTTGTTGTCATTTACCTTATTCTACTCACCCATATATTCCCTGAAAATTGGAGTTTATCCCTTCTGGCCTGCAGTCAGACCCAGAGGGAGAGCGGTAACACACGGCCGGGGCAGACTGGGTGCACAGGGAGTGTGTCCCGCATCGCCATTTTAGAACAGGGACATTTCTTCAGTAAAGACTGCCTGAAACCAACAGATGGCTCTCAGAGGACCAGAGGGGAGCTGAGAAGTTCACCCAAGATGCCGGCCAGTCCCAGCAACACAGTGTCCCAATGCATACGGCAAATTAGAAAACAGACAGTAGGGAGTAGAAGAACCACACGCAACCCAGCAACTCCTCAGGAAAAAAGCACACCACAAAAAGAAAACCACCCCCCAGATTGCAACGACAGTAACATGGAAGAACTTCTGAGCCTTCCAGAAAGAGAATTTAAAATTGCCATGATTAAAAACTGACAGAAGTCATAAAGGAAAACAATGATAAGGGGAAAACAATCAACGACCAGAAGAATGAAACTGAGTCCCTAAAGAGGGAAGTAAAAGAAATGCAGGAGATCAAAGAATTAATGGAGGCACTAAAGAATTCTGGGAAAAGCAATGAAAGCAGAATAGATGAAATGGAAGAACGAATAAGTACCCTTGAAGACACAGAAATAAAAAGAACCAAAACAGAAAAGGAAAGAGAAGTACGAAGGAAAAGACAGAAGAAAGACTTCGGGAACTATCTGACTCCATGAGGAAAGGAAATATAAGAGTTATAGGAATCCCAGAAGGAGCGGAGAGAGATGTAGGAACAGAGAAAATATTCAAGGAGATAATTGAAGAGAACTTCCCAAACGTGAAGAAGGAGCTGAAAATTGATATACAAGAAGCAAGAAGAACACCAAACTTCCACGACGAAAGGAAAAATACAGCAAGACACATAATAGTAAAGCTCCCAAGAATCCAGGACAAGGAAAAAATAATGAAGCTGACAAGAGGAAAGAAAAAGATAACATTCAAAGGAAAACCAATCAGGCTGACATCAGACTTCTCCTAAGAAACACTACAGGCAAGGACGGGCCTCCCCGTTGGCGAAGCAGTTCAGCGCTGGGTTGCGAAGCTGCCCGTGGCCTCTGCAGCACCGGTTCGATCCCTGGCTGCTCCCCGGCCACCGGAGGAGGGTCCCACATGGCACACAGACCTCTCCTGCCACCCACTGCTCCCCTCAACAGTGTACTTCGGTCCTTCTGCCTGCTCTGCTCCTTGCTCTAGCTCTGGTGAATTCTCTCACCCTCCCATGCTTCTAACTGTATCCAGTGAATGTATAAACAAAACAAACAAACAAATAAAATAAATAAATAAATAAAACATGCCTCTATTAAAAAAAAAAAAAAGAAAGAAACACTACGGGCAAGGAGAGAGTGGAGGGACATAGCCAACAGACTCCAAGAAAACATGCCAACCAAGAATACTCTATCCCACAAAGCTCTCCTTCCTCTATGAAGAAAGAATAAGGACCTTCCCAGACAAACAGAAACTCTGGAATTTCATTATGATTAAACCCCAACTCCAAAAAATACTACAAGGAGTCCTAAAGCCAGAACCTCAGAGGGATGAATAACAATGATAGAAGGCCAAAAAAAAAAAAAGTTATTAAAAGAATAAATAAATAAAATCAAAGGAAGGGCAAACACAATGGCAAATACAGATGCTAACATATCAATATTAACTCTAAATGTAAATGGACTAAACTCTTCAATAAAAAGACACAGAGTCACAGGCTGGATTAAGAAACAAAACCCAACCTTTTGCTGTCTCCAGGAAACACCTTTAGCTACAAAAGATAAAAATAGACTCAAAGTTAAAGGATGGAAAACAATCCTACAAGCAAATGGACCAAAAAAGAAAGCAGGAACAGCTATACTTATGTCAGATAAAACAGATTTCAAACTCAAAAAGATAAAAAGAGACCCCAACAGTCACTACATTATGATCCAGGGGACAATACTTCAAGAAGAAATAACACTCATTAACATATACTCACCAAACGAAGGAGCACCAAAATATATCAGACAAATATTGTCATCTCTGAAAACAGACATCAGAGAAAACACATACATAGTGGGAGATTTCAACACACCACTATCAACAATGGATATATCAACGAGACAAAAAATAAGTAAAGACACTAAAGCTCTAAATAAGGATCTAGAGCGCTTGGGCTTAACAGACATCTATAGAACACTAAACCCAAAAAAAACGGAGTACACATTTTTCTCAAGCGCACACAGATCATTCTCCAGGACTGATCACATACTGGGACACAAGACAAACATCAACAGATACACCAAGATCGAAATCATACCAACCATCTTTTCTGACCATGAAGGCATCAAACTAGAAATAAACCATAAAAAGAAGGCAAGGAACTCT